AAAAAAAAAAAAAAAAAAAAAAAAAAAAAAAAATTGGAAGGTGGAGAAAGAATAGGGCTGTATTGGGTTAAAATTGGCACTTTTAGTATTGTGATGGTAATCTAAGGAAGTCTAAATAATTTTTTAAAGACTATCTTCATGCAAAAGATTGGTAAGAACAAAAAAGGGCATTGACATAAATGTCTGAAGCGACGGTGGCTCTAATGGTCCCTAGCCAATGAAAAACAGTGGCAGATCGAAATACCAAAGTGGTATGTTTGTCTCACCGGAAGGCCAGATATGCCCCCAGAGCTCTATACAAAGGCTTTGCAGCAGATTAAAAATAGAGAAGAGCTGGGGAGGGAGGCGAGAATGGCACAGAGTAATTGTTGAGAGTGCTATAAATGATCATGCAGTCATTAAAAATGACCTTTATGGAGTTTTCCAAACTATTGCTCTCGGTTTTGGGGTTTGGTTTTGAAATAGCTTTGAGTTTTCATGATCCCACAAATGATTTTTCCCCCTCCTATTTCCTAGCAGAGGCTTATCCTCCTCATTTTAAAATTGAAAAGTCATAAACATATTGTTATGTAATGCCATCTGTTGAGTTACAATCTTAAAATTATTTTTCTTAATATTCTTAATCTGGTGTCAATATTCACTCTTTCAAATAAATCTGGTTTTCTATCATAAATGAGTTTTACGGAAATTTTCCAATAGTGTGGGAAAATACTTTAAAATGACAAATGGAAAAAAGAAAAGTAGGGTGCAAAATTGCCTATCAAGTATGTCCTTAGCCATGTTAGAAATGGTTAGAAAATAGAACAAAGGACTTGGAGGAAACATCCTTAGACATTAATGGATGAATGTTGGATGAATATATGGGCAAAGCTTTGGAGAGTTACCCTTTTCTCTCTGGGCCACAGTTCTGGGTAGATTCTGTCTGGCTGTGTTCCCACCATGGCCCTCTCCCCTGCTCTCTGCTCAGAGCCAAGTTTAGAGCCAAGCAGTGAACTCCTGCTTCATTTCTCTCTCCCCTTCTGAGCTCCCCTTTTTCTCTTATTCTTTTTATCATTAATGAATCGTCCTGTTTGTATGTGCTGCATTACTGTCAGAGGCCTCAAATCCGTGTTGTTAATAGAAACCGGGGAAAGTCTATAGAAAATGTAATACACCTGGTCTTGTGGAGTGTGGCCGCCAAGCTCCTCTTCATTCTGAGTTCTGGGTCCCACCTCCCGGAAGAGTTTCTGTTCACCATGAGTCTGAGGCTCTTTACACCCTAGCCTCTCCTCAGCTCCCTCTCCTGGGCCTTCCTGAGGCCTTTCCCAAACCCCTCCCAGGACAGAAGTTGGCTCACCACAGGCTTCCTATCTTCCCAGGGAAAACTCTTCCCTCCTGGGGCCAGGCACTGCTGTCGCAAGACTTCCAGCTGCTATGTCTGGATGGCAGCCGGGCTGATGTCACCGAGTGGAGGCGATGCCACCTGGCTCGGGTGCCTGCTCACGCGGTGATGGTCCGGCCTGACACAGACGGGAGCCTCGTGTTCCAGCTGCTCAATGAAGGCCAGGTGAGTTCAGGGCACCCCCCTACCCTGCTTCGACACAGCTTCCCAGATGGTACCGAACCTTCTGGTCTCTCGCCAGGGTAGGAGCTCACTCCAGTGAGAGCCATCATGGGGCTGGGCCAGCCAGACCAAGAGGGGCAAGACTCAGGGACCCCCACCCCTGCCCGGGGCGAGACCACAGCCGAGGAGGTCTCTGTAGTGTCCAACCTTGGTGTGAAGGAGGGACCGACTGTGTGAGCTGGCAGCCAGAAGGGCAGACCAGAAAGGGGAGACCCAGGACTCAGGAAGCGAGGAGGCCTGGGCTCAGGCACCCCTCAGAGAAAGCTGCTCACATTTGTGGCTCTTAAGACCAAAACCAGAATATATGAGCAAATAAAATGGCAAAGCCAACGAAGGTCGAAGTACCCCATTAATTAAATGTGCTAAATAATGTTTTGCTGAGACCACTGTTTACAAGAACAGCACATTTCTGACTGTGGGGCACCCCAGCTTTAGCTAGTTTTGTCCCATCACTTGTCCTTAGTCCCATCCACACCTGGGCCATAAGTCCTGTGTTCACTCAGCTGGGTGTGACAAGGCAGAGTGCACTGGGGGAGCACAGAGGAAGGAAGGAGGCAGTGCCTCACCTGGTCCCCAGAGTGGGCGCCTGGCCAGAGGGCATGGGAATAAGGAGCTGGTGGCAGATCTGGGAGGGATGTTTCCCCCCTCCCTGCTGGCATCACCTCACCAACCCCCACTCTCATCCCTTGACACACAGCGTCTATTCAGCCATGAGGGCAGCAGATTCCAGATGTTCAGCTCTGAGGCCTATGGGCAGAAGGACCTGCTCTTCAAAGATGCCACCTCTGAGCTGGTGCCCATCGCCACACAGAGCTATGAGGCCTGGCTGGGCCGCGAGTACTTGCAAGCCATGAAGGGTCTCCTCTGTGACCCCAACCGTAAGTCCACCGGTCTCTTGCCCCACTGGCTCCAGCCCAGCCGGACCACAGGCATGGCAATGCTTTCTGGAGAGGCAGCTGGGAGAGGACACTCACCCAGGAGCTGTGCCCCTTGGCCTCCATGAGAACCAATTGCTTCCACCTCCCTGCCTCTGGAGGTTTGGGGAGGAAGCTTCTCCAGAGTTGAATGGCCTGCTGTACCCTGGGTCTGTCTTGGGAAGGGTCTCCTTGCCCGTCCACACAGAAGTCATCAAGTCCCATCATTCTCTCTCCACAATGCCTCTCTCTTCCTCCTCCCCACCCCATAGCCAAGGCCCTGGTTCAGCCATTGTCTGTTGGCTGGACCATTGCAGTAGTCTACAAATGGGCTTCCTGCTTCCTGCCCCCTACAGCCAGGGAAATGGTATGCCACTCACTTAGACACATGGCAGCCATGATCTGCCTCAAGCCTCCACAGTCCCATGAAAGAGGCGCACAGTTACCCCCTTTCTGTAAGAGGAAACAGGATCAGATATTTAAATATCTTACTTCTTACAGCTAATGAGGGAGAGAACCAGACTCTCCCTTGGGTCTGGCTCCAAGCTCTTTGTACTGAGGTACTGGCCCCCATGGCCCCTGCCCCGCAGGCCATCATGCTCAGGGCCAGCCCCTGAAGCAGGTGTGTGCGGTGGTGACCACAAGCTCACACACACTCACACACACAGGGCTGCCCCGCTACCTACGCTGGTGTGTGCTGTCCGCTCCGGAGATCCAAAAGTGTGGAGACATGGCTGTGGCCTTCAGCCGGCAGAAGCTCAAGCCAGAGATCCAGTGTGTGTCGGCCGATTCTCCCCAGCACTGCATGGAATGGATCCAGGTAGGGGCCACGCCCAGAGGGGCAGAGCAGACCAGAGGGGCAGGCGGTGGCCGTGCCTGGGATGGTCCTTACCAGTCCTCCCCCGGTGCCCTGGTCTGAAGGAAACAGGGTAGGCTGAGGAGGAGAACACCTCCTGTGACAGCCCCACAGAGAAAAGGTAGGAGGAAGGCCTGGCAGGGACCAGCCATCCCACCCCAGGGGACGGGGGTGGGGGGGTATTTCCTTTCAGGGAACCCAGGAATCCCTCCTCACTGAGTGGGTGGTCTGGGAGCAGAAGGAGCCCGAGACTGGCCCAGCCAGGCACTGGTTGACCTGTGGCCTTCTATAGAGAGAGATGAAACAAACAGTACTGACCCTTACTAAGTACAGTGAACGCTGATGTCTTCTGTGATGGTCTATCCCAGCCTTTTTTTTCTAAGCTTGTCATGGTTCATTGCACTGATTTGGCATCCGCTGATATGCTGCAGTCAAAAGCACTGGCCCTGTGGCGGCCCACGCAGCTCTGTCCTGCTTTGCTTCTCTGCCTGGAGATGGAGGCCAGGACCGGGAGGTAGCCCTAGGGCCCTGCAACCAAGGATGCTACTGTGGTCACAGGTGGCCCACCAGCCCTTGGAGTCCTGGGCTCCTCCCTCCTCTTTTTTAAGAGCAAGTAGGTAGAGCCTATGGTCAGGAGCCCTTATCAGGGCAGTCCCCAAATGCAGGCCGGACCGCAGCGCCTCCGGAGTGTCCACACTGCCCCAGCCAGGCAACCACATTGACTTAAAGGCCAAGAAGAGAAGCATGGACAGGAATAACAGGAGGTCAGGATCGTGATAGATAGCAGTCACACGAGCATGCGAGTCCCGGGTGCCGCACGCTGTGCTGAGATTTCACGCGGGCCGCTTCACTTAATCCTCACAGCACCACTATGGGGTGGGTATGTTCACTGTCAAGTGTGGAAACTGGGGCCGGGAGAGGCCGAGGAAGCAACTTGCCCAAAGTCACCCAGCTCATGGTGGGGGAGCCCCTCTCCCCAGGGGCCCACAGGAGGCCGGCCCCAGCATGACCGCAGGTAACGCCGAGGAAGGGTGGGCCTCAGTGGAATGGAGAAGGGGAGACTGGAGGTAGAGGGCCGTTCATTTCCTAAGGCTGGGCACGCTGTCCTGTGGGGGGCGGCTGGGGCCACAGGCTGCAGAGCAGGGACAGATGTAGGAGAGAGGTTTCAGCTCCCTATAGGCAGGAGCCTTCTCTCTGTCTGAACTCAAACAGGGCCCAGGGGCTGCCCAGTGCCCTACGGGGAGAGTAGCAGACTCGGAGGTTCCTCAGAACCCCAGCAAAAGGCTCAGAGATACTTGGTTCTGAGGCTCTCAGGGATGGTGTCCAGTGTAGCTCGGATACCCATCTGCTTCCAGGCCACGGTGACTCTGGGAAGGGGGTGCCAGCTGGAACGAACCCTGGGCTGTAGGTAGGAAGTCTGGGTCAGGGAGGAGAGGGCCCCCAGAGACACACCCTCCAGGCTCAAATACCAGTGCCACTGCCTGTCATTCCGCCATCATGCCTCTGGGCCTGAACGGTGCAAGGTACCTTCCTGGGGTGCAGATGTCCCCTCTCTCCCCTGGCCCCATTCCCTCTCCTTGGGGTTTGTCACACTACTATGCCTTGATTATTGGCTAATCCCTTTTCGGTGTCCGAGGGGTCACCTGCGCAGAGGCTTCAGAATTCACAAGATTGGGTGGAGAGTGGGAGACCTGGAGCGCATCAGGAGGGTCGAGAAAAGAGGGCCCTGGGCTCCTCCTGCTGCCTCCTGAGGCAGAGCTTTTTAGCCATGAGACTGCTGTCTTTGAGCCTGGCTCTTTCATACATTCGCATACACATTCGACAAATACACATTGCATTTGTGCTGGATGCTAGCCCTGGGCCAGGTGCTGGGGACACAGTACAGTGCCCCAGGCCTCTGAGGGCTAGCAGTCCCTGGGGAGACCCCACCCCAAGCACAAGGGCAGTGATAGTCAAAGTTCTGCTCAAAACAGGGCCTGGCAACAGACGTGTCAGTAAACATTTATTCAAAGAACAAAGCAGACGCCCATGGATGGGAGTGCTGATTTCATGCCTCTGGTCCTCCAAGCACCCCTTTTGCCCACACATCTCACTAGGGTGGGGTAGGATAGGGCTCCTCGGGGAAGAGAGCAAGAGGCCAAAGTCCCCAGCACCTCTGTCAAATCCCGACACCTTCTCTGCCCGGTCACCCATTCTGTCCCATTTCAGGCTGGGAAAATTGATGCTGTGACCCTGAAAGGCGAGGACATCTACATGGCGGGAAAGGAATATGGCCTGATTCCAGCAGTTGGGGAGCGCTATGCCCGTGAGTGTGGTTGCTGGGTCCCCTGGCCTCTGCTGAAAGCAGCTGATATTTTCATATATATATAACCCACCTCAGCCCTTTTCAAAAGCTCCCCCTCAGTGTCCCTTTCCCAGGGCTGGTTGCTGTCAGTCACAGGCAAACCCCAGATCTCGGGTTTCCCATCTAGTCATTAAAAGCCTGGCAGGTGTGGGCAGACCTTCTATAAAAGGTCAGAAAGTAAACCTTTTAGGCTTTACAGGCCATATACAGACTCTGCATATTCCTTTTTTTTTTACAACCTTTTAAAAATATTAAAACTGTTTTTTAAAACATTTTTTAATGTCTATTCATATTAGAGAGAGAGAGAGAGACAGACAGAGCATGAGCAGGGGAGGGGCAGAGAGAGGGAGACACAGAATCTGAAGCAGGCTCCAGGCTCTGAGCTGTCAGCACAGAGCCCGACACAGGGTCCAAACTCATGAACTGTGAGATCATGAACTGAGCAGAAATCAGAAGCTCAACCGACTGAGCCACCCAGGCGCCCCTAAAAACTGTTTTTATGCTTGTAAGCCAGGCCATACAAAAGCAGGCTGAGTATTTGCTGACCCCTCGATGAGAGAGCCTCCTCCGCCCTTCCAGCCTGACCATGTGGCTCATAGAAGGTGGCCCTGGGGACTGTCCTTCCTGTCAGCTCATGCACACCTTCCCAGTGGCCCAGGCTGGGGCCTTGGTGCTCTGTCCCCTTAAGTGGTGACCTCAGGTCATTTCACTTGGATGTGAAAAATCTTTGGGCCTAGGAAAAATGTTTCTGCAGTCCTCAGCTGTGCCTCCACCTTTCTCCCAAGAGGTGAGAAAAATACCACCTGAGTGTAAGGGAAGGGAAATCTCTTTGGGTAAGGAATGTTGGGGAATGGGCTGAGGGACACAGAACTCTGAAAAGTGGAGCCAAGGGCTGCTTCCCAGCCTTGGAGGGGGACAAGCAGGGGTCCCACTGCTGGATGTGCACTCCTGAACCCATGCAGACAGGGCCTGGACCCGAAGCAGAGAGAGGCACTTGGGGCAGGACCATGGCTCTGGGGCAGGAGCCGCCTGAGGGAACGGGTTGAGGGCGGGAGGGGATTTGCGTTGGCTCATGCCTGGCTGAGGCCGGAAAGCACCAATGGGGTCCTCACTGGTGTCCCCTCCCCACAGCGGAGGACAGCAGCAACTCCTACTTTGTGGTGGCTGTGGTGAAGCGGAACAGCTCCTACGCCTTCACCCTGGATGAGCTCCGGGGCAAGCGCTCCTGCCACTCAGGGTTCCACAGCCCCGCGGGCTGGGACATCCCCGTGGGCGTCCTGGTGCAGAGGGGCTTCATCCGGCCCAAGGACTGCGATGTCCTCACAGGTACCACCTTCTGCAGGGACGTAGACATGCAAACTCTGTTTTGGGGTCTACTGGGTTGGGGGCCGGGTCTGAAGGTCAGGGAGCCCACCCCCCGCAGGATCCCACAGAGCAGCCCAGAGAGATTTCCTCTTCCTCCTTGATGTGCCCCTTTCTCTTGGGAAGGTTGGGAATATCCTTTTGTTTTCTTTTTTCTTTTTAGTTTTTTTACATTTATTTATTTTTGAGAGACAGAGAGAGACAGCATGAGCAGGGGAGGGGCAGACAGAGAGGGAGACGCAGAATCAGAAGCAGGCTCCAGGCTCTGAGCTGTCAGCACAGAGCCCGATGCGGGGCTCGAACCCACGAACTGTGAGATCATGACCTGAGCCGAAGTCGGACGCTTAACCGACTGAGCCACCCAGGCGCCCCAAGGTTGGGAATATTCTTGCCTACGTTTGGAGCCGTTGTTGGGTAGAGGGTGCCACGCTGCCCCGTCCCGCTTACCCAGAGTGGAACTAGCTCCAGTGGGCATGAGGAGCAGGGGGTATGCATGAGCTCTGGGCCTGGCGGTATCACCGTCCAGTTATGGGTCTGTCCCCATATCCCAGCAGCGAGGCATCTGGGGGACCTCGCTGGAAAGTGGCCAGGCTTCTGTACAAGTGCTGAAGAAGTCACGTTTACCAAGCAGCCACCTTATGCCATACACAGGGCCCTCCCCACCTGTTAAATCACATACATCCATGGTGAAAGGAAGGCAGTAGGAAGCTGGCAAGATCCTGGGCTGACTGTACCTCTGTCCTGTCTGGCACCTCAGAAAAAAACCACATTTTTTTTTCTAACCATCTCCACAAGCACACAGAGAGTGTTAGGGTTGGCTGCTCCCACTCCCACACAGCTGGGCACTTGCCCTGACTGGAAGAGAATAGCTTATGAGGTAGTGAGTTCACCATCCCTGAGGGAGTCCAAGAGAAGACTGGGTGACTACCAACCAGAGGCTGTCCATGGGATTCCTGTATCTGGACAACTTCTGTACTCCCCTCATCCCTGTAATTCTCACAGGGGGAGACATGCTCATCTGAGCCAGCTGGGCAGTGCAGCAGATGGGTGGCCTTGAGCTGTCGGGCCAAGCAGAGTGGGCAGACTTGTAGGGGAGTGGCCCTCTCATCTGCCCCTGAGCCCCCACTGCCCTTTCCCCTGCTGGCCCCTTAACATAGCCCTCCCCCTCTGCTCCAGCCGTGAGCGAGTTCTTCGGTGCCAGCTGCGTGCCCGTGAACAACCCCAAGAACTACCCATCCTCGCTATGTGCGCTCTGTGTGGGGGACGAGCAGGGCCGAAACAAGTGTGTGGGCAACAGCCAGGAGAGGTACTATGGCTACAGCGGCGCCTTCAGGTAAGCAGTGGCCTGGTGGGCGGGCCTGGGGCCAGCACAGACGCTGGGTCCCTCCTGCCAACACCTGCCTTGGCCTCTTGTGTGGCAGGTGCTTGGCTGAGAACGCGGGGGATGTCGCCTTCGTCAAGCACACAACTGTCTTTGACAACACAAATGGTACGTGAGGGGGGCTGGGGCCAGAGCGGGACCAGATTCTTGAGGGGTTGTTCCCCATCTCCAACATGATGCAGGCACTGGGTATTGCCAGGATTGGGGTAGAGCAGCAGCTGGGAAAGACTGAGTCTAGAAGGCTCTGCCCCTTGGGGATCCCAGGGGCTCCAAGGGCCTCTCAGAAAGAATAGACCTCAGGGCACATGTCCAGGTGGGCAGGACACATGACAGTTTTTACCGGTCTAGAATCCAAATCTCCATTCCACCAAAATGGTAGAAACTCAACCTCAGTCCATTTGGAGAGACCCCTTCTTGGGCATTTATATTGTGTCTAGGTATGGTGGGGGGCGGGAGTGGGCAGGTGCAGGGGGACAGGGGCCTCTCTCCACAGGGTCATCAGTTCGCATCAGCATCTGGTCTTTGGTCCGGAGCAGGTCAGTGTCCCGTGCAGGGAAATCACCTCGCATCTCCTAAGCCATACAAGGCAATGCACAAACCCATTCACATCACATGGGTGGCTTTTTCTCTGGAGTCACCTTCCTGGGCTCTGACTGGGAAAAAGGGCCCAGAAACTCTATGCTCCAGGCCCCCCCAAACCCACTCCTGGGTCCTATTGAGGGGCAGGGGACTTTGGCATGCCTCTCTTCCCTCCCTGCTCCTGTTCCATTTTGAAGACTGGAGGCTGTTTCCCCCCCCAACACCTACTGTTTGTTCTTTCTCTATACCCTGCCTGCACCCAGGCTTTGAAACCCCAAGTGCTGGGGGCTCAGTCTTCTCTCAGAAGCTCGTCCCCAAAACTCAGTGCAGAAAGGTGCAATGTGGCCCGAAGGGGAGGAGGAGATTGGTGAAGAAGAAGCGAGACCTGCAAGAGAAGAACATCAGTTAGGATTTCAAAACTCAGATGCCACCCTGCCTAAGAAGTGTTACCAAAGCTGGGAGGGCTCCAGGCCCCATTGCCACAACCCCTTGCCCCTGCAAAGCTCCTACCCTGAAGAACACTTGGGATCATCCCCCCAGGAGGAGGGAGCTTTGTGCTCCTGCAGGAGCCAGTGAGCCTGGCCTGGCCCCAGCCCCAGGCCCTCTGTGGTCTCCGGATAGGGGGAGGGGAGGGGCCGGTCCTGGGGGGACCCTTTCAAGAGTCACCTGCATCGAGGCACCCACCTCCCAGGGCCACTCATTCCCCTTTATTTTTATCTCTACTTGTGGGCCCACCTGGAGTTTCTTCTGGAAGAGGGTGGATACTAAGTGAATAATACATGAAGATACAAAAATAGTATGATTCCCGAGGGCAGTGTTTCTCAGGAAGCCCTTGGGCCAACAACCCCCTGCTTCAGAAACACTGGGTTGGGTTGCTGGTTTAAAATACCGATCCCTGGGCCCCACCCTAGACCTAACTTTGAAACTGCCTCTTCCAGATCAACACATGATGTTATACCTTTTCTGGTTTGAGAACTTCAGCCATTAGGGTAAGAGGTCCACCACCACCTTCAGGAGCCCACCCCACCTCAGGCCCAAGACCTGTAACACACAGGTGGGGCTCTTGGCCTGGGAGTGATTAAGAGTCTCCATTTTGTCATTTCATATGCAATAGGAGTGGTCATACTCACTTTGTGTTACTGCCACGAGGAGAGAGCAGTGCTTGTGAAATACCTGTCACATTATAGGTTCTCCCTATTCTCTACCAGTGGTAGCTCCTACCAGTGTTATTTTTTTTTAATGTTTTTATTTATTTGTGAGAGAGAGAGAGAGAGAGAGCACAAGTGGGGCAGAGGCAGAGAGAGGGGGACAGAGGATCTAAAGTGGGCTCTGTGCCGATAGCAGCAAGCCCGATACGGGGCTCGAACATGCAAACTGCGAGATCATGACCTGAGCCGAAGTTGGACGCTCAAC